CCTCCCTTTCATCCCCCTGCCCAATCCCACCCCATCAACATTTTTTAATTTTTTTCTACCGTGCCTTTTTTTACTACCGTTCTCTCATCTCGCTCCCTCTGTTTTTTTTACTCTCCCTCTCTCTCTCTCGCTCCCCTTTTTTCAACCTTTTTTCGCAACCCTCGCGCCGGTCATCCGTTGCGGAACGTAATTCGAGAGTCTCAAGCGCCTCTGAAACGAGGCTCCCAACTAATTCGTCCGAGCGACCGAGGAAAAGAGGTGGCTTGTATTTTCACACGTTGCTGATTTAACTAACCGCATTTTTTTTCCTCTCTCCGTTTCTCTCCTCGTTCATATTCCTTTATATCTTTATCCTCTTTCTCTAGGAGTGCGCGGTACTCGCGCGCATTGCACAAGAGCGCTCGTAGCGATTCGCGAAAAATTGGTCAGAGTTCAATTTAAATGCCGCTAACGTGTTACTTGTCCATTTTTTTTTCCTACGCTGGTAACGCTCTCCTATACCGTCTTGTGTGTGTCTTGAGTATACGTTTTTTTTTCTTCTTTAGAAAATCAGGTTACGCTAAATTGTCGAGTTACCGCAGTCTGCCTCGGTCTGATTCGGCGACTAGTTGCGTGTGTGACATGCTAGAGTAGCGGAGCCTCGTATGTGCTATTGCACTTACGTATTGCCGGTGGGCACTGTAATAAGCAGTGTTCCATTAGCTATTACGAATAGACGCTATTCGAATGGTTCAGAGTCCCGCGATACATTTTGCTGTTAAAAATTGTTTAGAATGAAGTATACGATACTCGTACGTATACGGGAGTACTCTTATGATATAAGGGATGATTAAGAACTGAAAAAAAGGTCAAAAGTACTGTACGATAAAGCTATAGCTTTGGGGATGATAATCATGACGCGTGTGAGGGATGAATTTTTTATCATCCAAATTACACCCTTGCCTACGACCACTGTCCAGTTTGAAAATAGTCAGGAGGCGTCAGGAAGACCCACGACAAAATCCATTTCGTTGACCCGTCCAATGAGGCTTCGGAGCGTCCCTGTCCTTCCCTGTCCTTCCCTGTCCGGGACAATTTCAATAACCGACAGTTCAGGTAGAATTTTTCAACTTCCCACCCTGCGTTTTCGCGCCACCCGCGAAGCACACTCCCTCCTCGTAATTATTATACTTAACAGTGTCCGGGGTGGGGAACGTCGGAAATCCTGCAACTGTCGTATCAGGGGGTTGCCGCTTCGGCCTTCCTTTTTTCCCCTCTCTTTTTATTCTTATTTACAGGAAAATTAATTGCCCGTAATTATTACTTGCGCGAAGGTTCACAGACCCTTTGGTCCTATTGGGAATTTCAAAACGACCCTCGGTATAGAATCGTTTAGATATCATTTTGTAATGATCCCACGATTCATTACAGAGATACGTAGCGAGTGGGACTTAAAAGAAATGCATAGAAAAAACCCAAAAAAAATTTTTGAATTTTTAACAAAGTATCATGAGATTCCCTCGTCATCCCCTATTCTTCACCACTTTTTTTGGCAAGTCATTCGTACACTTTCCACATATCTGCCTCTCTCTCTCTCTCTAGGTACCAGATTAAATTAGCAGCATCCGAGTAGTCCCACCTCCCATCCACCACGGTCCCGACTCTCGAACGCAGGGGTGCGTAACTCTTGAGTAGTTTCTAATTAATGACTGATTGGCAGCCGCATGCTGCTACGCGCCCACCTCCTCCTCACCCCACCCCTACTCCCACGCTTCTTTTACAACCCTCCTCACCTTCTCTACGAACCTCTCGAACCTCCTCCTCCTCCTCCTCCTCCACCACCTCTTTCCTCCTACTCCTCATGCTCTACAGATCCCTCTTTACTCTTCACTCTACCGGCGAACCTCCCATCTGGCATCGATTAATTCATTTCGTTTCTACTAGCATGGGGCACGCGCACCCAGTTCCTTCTTTGGGCCGCACGCACGGAAAATCAGGTGAGTGAGTCGGTGAATAGAGCGAACACGGCGAATAGGGCGAACGAATGAGCGACCGAGTTTAATTCACTCGATCAGCCCTGAGTAGCCTTCTATGCTGAATTGCTCAAAGACGTTTTATTAAAAAAAAAAAAAAAAAAAAAAAAAAAAAA